AGTGACATCTCAGAGAAACTTATGGAGCGCAATCGTCAGTATCAAAAGCTCCAAGGTCTCTATGATAGCCTTAGGCTACGGAATATCACTATTGCTAACCAAGAAAGTACTCTTGAACCATCTTTGGTAGCACAGTCTGGTGTTTTTGGCTTCCCATTAGGTAAGAAAAGACATGTTTTTTATATATATATGTATATATATATATATATATATATATATATATATGTGTGTGTGTGTGTGTGTGTGTATTTGTAGTATTGGGGATTGAACCTATGGCCTCACATGCTAGGCAAGTTTCTAAGTTGCTACCACCAAGCTACATCTATTTTATTTTGAGAGATGGTTTTACTAAATTGCCCAGGCTGGCCTTGAATTTGTGGTTCTTCTGGCTCAGCCTCCCAAGTAGCTGGGATTATAGGCATATGCCTGTCACTGTCCACATATATTTTGATTTCTTTCATATTTATCTGTTCTTTCTGTTCTTCTCATTGTACGTACTTACCCTTTTACTCTTTCTATCTTATTTAGCTTTTTACATACAGTCAGCATTTTCCTCTTCGTAGTCTAAGAAAACTATCCAATATTTGTTTTTCAAATCAAGGATTTTTCTCACTGTACTCTGTGTAGTTCCAAGCTGTGAGTGAAGGCTCCAAGGGTCTAGAGCCATGATAGGTTATGAATCTTTCATCTGTATCTCAACCTCACATAATTCTTTTACCTATTATATTTGCTTACGTTCATAGTATGCCTTTAATATATTTCAAGATATAAGTTTGCAGATTACAATGTAAATTAAAAATTACTTAGTTACAGTAATAAATAATAGCTGCCACTTATTGATTTCTTACTAAGTGCTAAGTACCTTTTTAAGTGTCTTACATGTATTCATATAATTTACAAACCTATGTGAAATAAATACTGTTTTTTATCCCTGTTTTGTAAGTGAGAAAGGAGAAAGCTAAGGAACAGAAAGTTAATTAACTTGGTCAAGATCACATAGCCTATACTCTTAACTGTTTGCATCCTCAGGAAGACCTTGTTTTAGTTTCTTTCACATGCCAATACTGGTCGCACAGTTCTCAAATTATTGTCTGTTGTTTGGTTCTTTTTAAAATTTACCTTTTTATCCGCTCATCAGATGTTTATCCAGAGTTTCATGTGCCATTGTGTTATGCATCTTTATATCTCTCTAAACAATGAGATATAAAGATTGTCCAGATAGTAATACTGCCTTCACAATCTAGGATGATACCAACTTTTTGTTAGGTACCCTGCCTAACAAGTTCCTAACTTTCACTTACTTATATTGTAGTTTAGTCAACCAAAGTATTTCTGTAAGTGGATATTGTAGGTATTATTTTCCTGTCACTGTCCACATATATTTTGATTTCTTTCATATTTATCTGTTCTTTCTATTCTTCTCATTGTATGTACTTACCTTTTTACCTCTTTCTTTTTTAGCTTTTTACATACAGTCAGCATTTTCCTTTTTATAGTCTAAGAAAACTAAAAAAACTAAGGAAGTGCCCAGCAGAAGTAGTTAAATGTTCATTTGATCACATCTATTACCTGATTTTCCATAAAGTTATGCTAATTGTTATTGAGTCATGGGTATATGGCAGTATTTCATGGTTGTCGTATATTTCTGGAGTGTGTATTACTATATATATATATATATATTTTTTTTTTTTTTCCTTCTGGTATGGTGACACACACCTGTAATCCCAGGTACGATGGAGACCGAGGCAGGAATATTCCATGTTTGAGGCCATCCTGGGCAACTTAATGAGACCCTGTCTCAAAATAAAATAACATAAAATAAAATAGGGCTGGGGATATAGCTCAGTGGTGGAGTGCTTGCCTAGTATGTATGAAGCCCTGGGTTCAATCCCCAGTTCTAAATAGAAAATTATTGAAAAACATGACTCAAAGGATCATGTGCATATATGTATTTTTGATGATTCCTCTGAAATGGATAACAAATTAATAAAATTATGATGTTGTGAATTCTAGTACTACTAAAAATGTTTCATTGTGTCAGATAACTTTGGCAATGAAATTATGGCTATCAATGGAAACTGCATCACAGAAGGTATTGTAGATACTTTAGTCATGGGGAGGGAGAGGTGTGGACATTAGGGTCCTTTTTTAAATCTAGTGTTATGTTTGTATTTTATCCATCTTGGGTGAGTTTTGTTACAGTATTTATTGAATGGATTTTGGTTTTTTGTTCCTAAGGATCTATGAGGAAATAGATGCTTATTATCTCTCTAAATTTTTTTCTAGGTAACAGCTCCAAGTTTCCTTTGGACAATACACCAGTTCGAAATCAGGGTGGCGGAGATGGAGATTTTCAGTTTAGACCATTTTTTGTGGGTTCTCCAACAGCACCTGAAGCCAGCAACAGCTTTTTTAGTTTTGCCTCTCAAGGCCATGAATTAGAGCAGCAACAAGTCTCTAGCAGAGCCTTCAAAGTAAAAAGAATTTAGCTTATTTTATAGAATGTTTGTTTGCATTCAGTGATTTCATTTATCATAGAATCTTTATTCTAGGTAAGAGTTGTCAACCTCCCTGTGCTGTTAAGTCTTTGAAGTTCACTTCACATTTCAACTTATAAAAAATTCAGTGGCAGTAGGGGATTGGCATTAATGTCTTGATTTTTTTTGTGTGTGTTCCTTTGTTTCTAATATTTAAAGCGTGAAAATTTCATTAATCTCAATTTCTTTGTATACTGTTGAGTTTTCATTCCTGGTGAAAAGGCCACAACATTATTATATGTTCTGTAGATCACTCTGACTTTCTGACTGAGCTATGTGTTTATGCATTATATGTATATAAGCACCAGTGTTATATGTTTACATGTTACTTTGGGTCTTGGTATTTATGCATATATATGTATGTAATTATGTCCATTGATATTTTACTGTATTTGTCAGTATATTTAATGAATATTTTGGTTTTGGATAATGGTGGGTGATCTGTGGCTTGTTATTTGGGTGTGTGTGTATTTATTTGTATGTATTTATGTATTTGTACACATATTAACTTGTTCACAGAGGTATGTTAATGTTAATGAAAGAACAATTTTATGTATGTATTTCCAGTCCCCCCTTATATTTAAAAATTATTTGATAAATTTATAAAGTTGATTTTTTTAGGATTTGTTTAAAAATAAAGCTTTTTATTAACTATAGCCTGTTAACTATTTTAATAATGCACTTCTGGGACTGGGGTTGTGGCTCAGGGGTAGAGTGTTCGTCTAGCACATGGAAGGCACTGGGTTCAGCATCACATAAAAATAAATAAATAAAGGTGTTGTGTCCAACTATAGCTAAAAGCAAATATTAAAAAGAATCTACTTCTGATGCAGAGAAATTACTAATGTTATTGGTAGTAAGAGATTATGTTAATTAAAATAATTTTAAGATTTATTCCTTGTTTCCCTTTATTAAATCGTGAACATTTCAGTTTACTGTTAAGAAATTCAATGATGTTTAATTATTGTATTTAATTATTTAAAACAGAACCAAGAAGGACAATCTTAGTAACTTTATGTCCTGTTAGAGGCAAGTCTCCAAAGCATTCTTGTTGAAGGGGCAGAACATTGGGGTTCGAATGATGGTTCTTTCCACATATATGTTGTACAAGATTAAGTTAACATTTTTAGGCTTTAGTTTATATATCTGTAGAATGAGGATTTGAATTACATTATCCTTAAATTGATTTTTACTGGTTTAGGATGAATTACACTGAGCTTATACTAATGCCAAATAACCATTTTTCTTTAGATAATAAGAGTCATACTGAAATCATTTGAAATTTTTTGGATTTAGTCATTATAGGTAATGCAAATAAATACTCTTCTTTACATAATTGAATACCAAGCAAGTAATATTTTCTTCATTGGGCGTACAGAGTATAAATTTTTTTCTTTTTTCTTTTACTCCAGAATTAAGATGGTATCTGAAGGAATATCTTGACTTAAAAGTTTTAAAATGTGCCTATTTTGTAGGTAATGAGATTTAATAGATTACAATGTATTTTTGTTCCCTATATAATTTTAAATTTTGTTGGAAAGTGGTTTGAGGAAATGATTTTATTTATGTAGCTTCATGATTTTTGCTGAGAACACTTAGCTTCATCCTTTGTTAGGCTCACAGAATTTGATTCTGAAATCAAGTAAGCTATAATTAAAAAGGGTAAAGAGAAACTGTTAGAAATACTACATATTACTTTAAAAAACTTTATTCAAGAGTTTAATACATTCACATGGTACAAATTAAAAAGGTACCCAAAAAAAGCAGAGCGAAATTCTCACTTCTACCTCTGTCTCCCAGCCACTCTGTTTCTCTGTTTGGAAGCAAGTTACTGTTGGCAGTGTCTTCTCTTTTCAGAGAAAGTCTATGTGGAAGCATTTTTTTTTTAATTTAAAAATTATTTAGTTTTGAATAAGTACATTTATGTGGCAAAAAATTCAAAAAGTACACAGTGAAAAGAATTCTCTGCCCAGTCCCCGTTCACTTTCTGGAGACATTGTTTCTTGAGTATCCTTCTGGAAATAGACGATGAATATGTAAACATTATCAGTGTACAGCATGATAGTTTTATAACGCCATACCAAGTGTAGTAGATTTATTAAGATAGTGCATTCCAAATGATGAAATTACTCATATGTTTGAAAATCTGCAAAGTTTGTAAAAGAGTCAGACGTTACCATTGTTCTACATTATCTTCAAAATTTCAAAGGGCACAGGCATTCCACTGTCTTAAACTATCTTCTTTTATAGGAGTATTATAATCTTGATATAAATAAGTAGGAAGATATCAAACAAAAATACACACGTGATTAATTTTAGGACATTTTGTTACCCAGAATTTGGGAAAGAAATTTTTGATTTCAAAGGTGATTAAAGAGGTCTTCAGCTATTTTAGGCGTTAGTTCAAGTCGGTTTGGATCAATGCCCTTTATGTGCAGGTTAGCCTCCAGAGCCCTAGATGTCGCTGTGGCTCCGCGATGGGCGTGTGTGTGCGTCTCTGTGATTACAAACTTGAGGGCTGAGAAGCCGAGGGCAGAGAAGCCGAGTGCGGCTCGGGAATGATGGCTGAGGAAGAGGAAGAAGCTAAGCACATCTTGCAGAAATTACAGGTGAGGCCACAGATTCAAATCTGTGTGTGCTTTTGTTACTCGGGAAGAAGCAGGGAGCCCATTTTATGCAGTGCTTGCGAATTCCATGGCTCATATTCGGTGCTGCACGCGTCTGTGCGGTTACTATAACAACTCCCGAGGTGCAGCTGGCAGCGGCCAGGGAAGCTTCCCGTCCAGGAGAGGAACGCAGCCCGTGTGCTAGCACCCGGTGCTGCCGCTGTGAATGCGGAAGGGGAATTGTTGCTCCTGACTGTACTCCTGTACATTCTTAGAGAGGAACTCCCCCGCCCCTCTAGATTCCTCCGTGAAAGCGTATTTATGTGTGTGGAAGGTCTGCATGAACCATTATCATGTGTTGTTTTATCCCTAGAAAGGCCATTTCTTTTAATACCTTTCTGCTTTGAGATTGTCAGCAATCGCAGTAATGGCCTGCACTGCAAATATCCTGGTTCCTTTCCTTAGGACTTCACGGTTTGGATATTTTTTTGACCTCTGTAGTCCCAGTTTGGAATTCATTGCAGACGGGTTCAGGCTTTACCTAGTCCACAGGTACTTGTTCTTTTGACTATTGTACTTGGTAGGTAGGAGTTATGTAGTTTCTTGATTCTACCTTTCATTTAATGGCCTAGGAATTTCTTTAAACCTCAGAAACAGACTGAAATGTGAACATTAAGAGTTTATGATAGGCTTGTAACTTGCTTCAAGGCGTCAAACCCAAAAGTTTTAAGCATTGATGAGATTTGTTTTCTGGGCAGGTAACATAATAGCACTTTTAGAGTGTGGATTTAAGTCACTTCCAGCTGATTCGGATTAACTTCATTTTATTCCCTCCTGTGATTCCTGAAGTCAGAAATTCCCAATCCTGGCTCCATATTAGAAACATCATATATATGTATTTCTGAAAAAGTATACTAAACACAGGTTATCCCTGAGGCTATCTGAGGCTATTTGGAGCGATTATAAGTTTTTTACCTTCTGTTTTTGCATACACCTATTTGAATTTTAACAAATTATAGGTATTGATATTGCCATGAGAGAAAAACGTTCAGTCCAGCAAAACCAAACCAAACCAGTTCTTGCATGTTTGCTTTAGCAACTGAAAATAAATAGAAAGACCTTGTTTTAAACTCCCAATTTGCAGCTGATCCATGCTTTTTATTCTGGGTAGGATTTTAAATTAAATATAACACATGTATTTGTTAGAAACAGGTATGATATATCAATTTAGTCAACATACCTAATGAGAGCCTACCATGATCCAATCCCTGTTCTAATGCTCTGGTGTAACTCAAAGCAAAGTCCTTTGCATTATGGAGCTTATATTCCAGTAGTAGAGACAGAAAATGGACAATGAATAGGTCATATAATTTCAAATGATAGGTACTCTAAAGAAAAGTAAGAGTGATTTAATAGTTTGATTTTGATAGTTAGGGAAAGTTCTAAGAAGCTGGTGAACTCTAAATAATGATGAGGAATGACTCATGCAGAGTTCTGAGGAAAGCATGCCTAGCATAGGGAAAAGCATATATAAAGATCTCAAGGTGGGATCAAGCTTGATGGCTTTGAGAACTGAATGATGGCTAATATGACTTTAGTATTATAGGTGGGAGGGTGGTAGGAAGTGGAATTTTTGGCTGGTTGGGTTGTGGGAGGTCAGATCATACAATGTTGCGACCCATGGTAAGGAGTTGGATTTTATTCTATCTGCAGCTGGAAACTTAGGGTTTGTGATATGATATATATTTTTATTAGGTCACTCTGACTACAGTATAGAGAATGGAAGAGAGTAGAAGCATAGTGATTAGTAAGAAGCTATTACAGTAGTACAGGCAAGTGCTGAAAATTAGTCCGGGATGGACATAGCATGATGGAGACAGGTGGACGAATTTAGGATGTCTTGTGGCGGGAGTTGATAAAACTCGATTGGGTTGGTCTGTATGTTTCTGCTGCTATTCAGTTTCAGGAAAAAAAAATAGTGAAAAAGTTTCATGGGGAAGATTCAGAGACATTTCAAGGAGGAAAGAGAACATTTACTTGCAGATAATGCCAGACAGCCAGAAGATGACTTGACAAAAAATAAAGAAATGGGAAACAAACAAACCACAATAATCATTTAAAGAAACAAAACCTTAGGGCTGCAGATGTAGCTCAGTGGTAGAGCTGCTTGCTTAGAATGAATAAGACCTTGATTTAATCCCCAGTGCTGCAAAAGAAACAAAACTCTGCAAAAATACCAAGGTTACCAAGTTCACATTGGACTGTTTGTGTTGGAAAACAATGCCCTTCTCACATGTTTATCATATTCAGAAAGGTCATTTGTTTTCACATACCAGCATAGGAAAAATTGGGGATAAAGTGTTTTTTGTTAGGAAGTCTAGTTTAAAATTTTTTTTTTTTTGACTTTGCTGGGGATCGGATGTAGGGCCTTCTCCTTGCTAGGTAAGTACTCTGTCACTAAGCTTAGGAAGTCCAGCTTTAAGGGTATATTTGAAAGTTTTAGTCTTTGGGGGCCAGAACCAGACAGAATAATCTTGTTAACTTTGGTTTTTCTCAAGTTGCAAAGTGTTTGCCTCCTCCTGACTATGGTATGGGAAGTGCTTAGATATTGGAAGCCCTATTAGAGCTGGGAGAAAGAATTGTCTTTACAGTATAGAGACTGACATGGGACAAGTTGGGACCTTGAAAGTGGGCCCTGGATACTGGCTGCTTTCCTCATGATTTGTGGCGTTTCAGTAGACCTGTCCATCTGCCTATTGTGCCATTCCTAGGTGAGAGAAGAGAATCAGTATTTCTAGGCCAAGAGCTAGTATGATTAGTCCTTTTCAAATTTCCTTGTAAGATGCTGTCTCCCCACTTAATGGTACTATTCTTCTGCCTTCTAGGAACTGGTGGATCAGCTCTATTCATTTCGAGATAGCTATTTTGAGACACATAGTGTTGAGGATGCTGGGCGGAAGCAACAGGATGTGCGGGAGGAGATGGAGAAGACCCTGCAGCAGATGGAGGAAGTATTGGGTATGAGCTGTAAAGAACTTGCAGCCCCTTGCTTGTCATTGAAATGTGATAGAGTTTTGTCTCTTTATTTAGCCTGGTCTCTTGTTGGTGGCATTTATGGGTTGGTAGAACAGATTGTTTCTTCTAAGGACCCTTGTGCAGGATATTAAGCTTTCAGTCCCTAAGCTGTTTTCCTAAGGTTTGATTATAGCAAACTTGTTGCTTGAAGTATTGTGGTAATCTCCTTAATTGATCTTTCTGTCTTTAATTCATTTTACTTCCAGATCAACTTATATACTGACCTTGGCCATAGTTATCTTTCTAACTCATTACTTCATTTATTTAATGGCATTTAATCTTATTCTTTTGGCTGGCTTTTTCCCCCCACTAGTACTAGGAATTGAGCCAGGTGCATTGTACCACTGAGCTATGACTCCTGACTCTTTTTGTTTCTTTAAATTTTGAGATGCTAAGTTGCCCAGGCCTTGAACTTGTGATGCTCCTGCTTTAGCCTCTTAAGTAGTTGGGATTATAGGTGTGCACCACCATATTGGCCCCCTCTTATCTGTCTTTTTGCTCAAGTATCTAAAGATTCCTGCTATTGACTGTCTGAAGTCTAACCCCCTTAACCTCATATTTAAGTGTCCATCATCTCACTCTTTTTTCTAACTTTAATTCTGACTACTTGTTTATCAAGGAACTTTTTGTTTCATCCAGGTTGGAATACTCATGCTTGCATGAACATACCACATGTATTTTTGTTTATATGATTTTCTAACAGGAAGAATCTTTTTTTTTTTTTTTAAATTTATTGGTTCTTTTATATATGACAGTAGAATCCATTTTGACATAATTATAAAAGCATGGAATATATCTTGTTCAAATTCAGTCTCCAATACCTCCCTCGCCATCCAGTTCCCTTCCTGTAAAGCAGAAAGGGGTGTGTGCGAGATCAGGAACCACAGAACAAGAATCAGGCACCAAAAGAAGGTTTATAGGGTGGGGGGCTCCTCGGGAGGTTCACTGGTCAGCGAAAGGGTGAGGGCCGGGGAAGTCACCAGTGGGAAAGACAAGAACAATGTTAATAAGGGAATCTGGAGGTAGGAGGGCCTAGGCCATCTAGTGACAGCAGATTGGCCGAGCTGAGTTTAGGGGGGTTATGTCTATCACAGGCTGGTCAGGGCTGATGTGAGATGACAGGGCAATTTCTTCAGCTGGGGAACCATGGTGGTTGGGGTCCGTTGCCATGTCAGCTTCTGATTGGCCATTTCAGGTCTCCTCAGCCAGGTAGAAAGTCCCTACCCCTAGCCACTATGAAAGGGGAGGAGGAAGGGAAGCCTGCAGACCTAACACTTCCCTTTACTGATCTTTCTGCCATTTACCTATATTAATTTTTAAAATTAATTTCTTGTGGATGTACATGATGGTGAGATTCACTGTAGTATATTCAAATATGTACATAGGCAAGTTATATCAGATTTATTTGACGCTATTCTTTTCACATCCCCCCTCCCTTCCCTTCATTTTATCTTCTTTTCTCTTTACTTTTTAAAGCCCATTCATTGAGTGAGTACCCTGTGCTGCTTTTCATTGTTATTTTAATTTTCCATGTGTTCAGTTTTGTTTCTTTCACCAGATTGTGAAAGCCTTCTAGGGTAGAAATACTGCTTGCTTTGTTACCCAATACCTAACATAGTATTCTCCATATAATAGGCTTTCAGTAAGTAGATCACTGTTAAAAATTTTCCTCAACTCCTTCCATTCCTAGAGCTAGCATGCTGTTATTTCTTGAGAGACAGTACCCTGGTCTTCCCACTTCTCAGGTTTTTCAACTTTCCTTTATCTTTTTCTTTTCTTCCTAGGTTCTGTCCAGGGCAAGGCACAGGCTCTGATGCTAACAGGAAAGGCACTGAATGTGACTCCTGACTATAGCCCTAAGGCTGAGGAGCTTCTGTCAAAGGCTGTGAAGCTGGAACCTGAGCTGGTGGAAGCCTGGAACCAGCTGGGTGAGGTCTACTGGAAGAAAGGGGATGTTGCAGCTGCCCACACCTGCTTCTCAGGAGCCCTCACCCATGTGAGCTGCCCACCATCCCCTCAGAAAACACAGATGGGAAGGATGGAATTCCTTTGGTTCTATGAATTTCTCTAGGACTCTAATAATAAATCAGAGCTAATTTTGAACTAGGAGACCATAATCAGAAGGGTAAAGGAGCCACCTGGATGAGGAAATCAGGGACAGGGAACTGAGAAAGGGAAAACGTGATGGGATCAAATTTAGGGGTAGATAAGAAGTGAAGAAAAGTGAGCAACCAAGCTAATCCTTGTTGTTGGCATTCCAGATGCAGATGGCAGCAAGAATTAAGATGAAAAATTAGATTTAGGAGAAGATTGAAGTCAGAATAGATCTAGAAAGAGAAGGTAGAATTAGGAAGGTTGAGTGTTATGTTTTTTTTTTATTTGCAGTGCAAGAATAAAGTCTCCCTGCAAAACCTGTCAATGGTGCTTCGCCAGTTGCGGACTGACACAGGAGATGAACATTCTAACCATGTCATGGACAGTGTTCGACAAGCTAAGTTGGCTGTGCAGATGGATGTCCTCGATGGCCGCTCCTGGTGTGAGTGCTCTCGAGATCTCCTAGGTTTCTAGAGTAGTGGTTCTCAATCATGGCTACATATCTAAATCACCTGGAACCTATCTTGAATCTTGACAGTAAGGTAAACTAGGGCATCTTGTTTTAAAGAAGCCCAACAGGTATTTTGATGAACCACTGTTCTTTGATTTCTTCTTTTTCTTTTTTTTTGTATGGTGCTGGTGCTGGGGATTGAACCCAGGACCTCGTGCATAGTAGGCATGTGCTCTACCACTGAACCCCTCACCTGTACTCTTGGATCTTTTGATTCAATGGAGGAGACAAATGCTTCCACATAAGCAAGTAGGGCTTTTGTAAAGTTTATTCAAGTTTCTCTTCAAGGGGGTGCGGGGTAGGGTGTTCATGTTTATCTGTCCTGCAAGAATTTTGGTCATACTAAATATAGTGTCATCCTGGTTTGGTCCTAGGAATTGAACTTTCTTTTTGGTCCTAGGAATTGAACCCAGGGGTGCTTAACCACTGAGCCAAATCCTCGTTCTATTCTTTTCTTTTTTTAAAAAAATTAACTAATTAATTCTAATTAGGTATATATAACAGCAGAATGCATTTTATTCATTGTACACAATTGCAGCACAAATTTTCATTTCTCTGGTTGTTCACAATGTAGCGTTGCACCATATGTGCAGTCATACATGTACCTAGGGTAATGATGTCGTCTCATTCTACCGTCTTTCCTGTCCCCATTTTCTCCTCCCTCCCCTTTGCCCAATCACAGTTCCTCCAAATTCTCAGTTGTTTTTATTTAGAGACAGGGTCTCTCTAAGTTGCTTAGGGCCTTAATAAGTTGCTGAGATTGGGTTTGGATTTGTGACTCCCTTGCCTCAGCCTCCGGAGCCACTGGGATTACAGGCATGTGCCACTGTGTCTAGCTGAAATAGACTTTTAGGGGTTAACAGAATAGGTCATATCCCGTATTTGGGCTCTGAGATGATCCATTGCTGTTTTTCTTTCAGATATTCTGGGGAATGCATACCTTTCTCTATACTTCAATACTGGCCAGAACCCTAAGATATCCCAACAAGCCCTCAGTGCCTATGCCCAAGCAGTAAGTACTTGTGGTTACTTAGGTCAAGTAAATAGAGACAATCACAGAAGGAAGAGCATCATTCAGTCTTTCTTATGGTCCTTTGGCAAGCAGCATGTGAAGCATTATCTGGTTTCTTATGTTTGTAAAACTGTGTTTGCACAAGTAACTTATTTCTTCTTATAATGTGAGTGTTAGGAGCTACTTGCAGCGTGATGCTTTAGTGCTAGATAGTTCCTGGAGCTATTTAGATATTGTAGAGGCATGTATAACCAAATCACAGAAGATGTCTCAATCTGTTTATATTTTTTAATGGGAAAAAAGACTATTAAAATAATGCTTATTAATTGTACACATTTATTTTAAAGAAAGAAGAAAACTCTTTAACGCTTAAATACTACCCCCACATTAACTAGTAGACAGTGTGCCTCTGGATTTCCTGTGGGCTAAAAGAGAAAATAGTATATAGTCTATTCTGCATCATTACCTAGAATTAATTCACTGGAGCTCATTCTTTGCCTAGTCTTCCAGGCCATTTTTACATGGGTCTTTCCTTCAGGCTTTGGATACCTGATTACTCATTTTTAGGAGGTTCACATTGGCCTTCTGAGCACTTCTTATTTGACTGTCATGTTCATCCTTCTTCTTTGCTTTCATGAATTCTTTGGTATAGAGAACTGCTTTTTAACCTATCATTACTTGTTTTGATCTTTGTGGCAAAACAAAGAAAATAGTTCCCTTATATTCATGTTTGTGTTCAAGGACTGTCCATTTTTCAGTGAGGAAACTTAGAGATTTATATTTTACTCTAATTTCTTAATTTTGTGAATGTTTACATTTTAAAGAATAATATGGCATTTTTATATTTGACTTCTGCCAATTGCTCTTAACTCTTTAATTTCTTCTCCTAAATCCACATTTTGAAACATATCTGAACTAATCATTTAAACAATTTTAATTCATGTTGTTTGTGCTTTTGTAGTATGACAGGCAATTAATGCAATTAACAAATGAACAGATCAGTTTCTTCACAGCACATTTGCACTGTCCTTTGGTTTCTGACCATGTATTTTAGAGAATCAGAATTTGACTTTCCATTTGTGCTTTAAGGGGGTAGGAACATGATTCTGGATGTAGGAACATGATTCTGGGTGGGTCTGGAGCCAGGCTCATGGGCAGAAGAAATGCATTAAATCAATATCATATCATATTGTGCTAGGCTTTCCTCATTTATCCAGCATATTACTACTAAAAATTATTTTTATCAGAATGTGTTCACATATTTCTTCATATTCTGTCTTTATAGTACTGTGTGGATTAACTAAAACCATATTTGAAAGTTTTACGTATGTAAACACTGTTACATCCCTCAGGTTTGAGAGATTGAGAGACTGAAGAACATATATAAGGAACAATTGTATAGTAGTGTGGGTATAGGTAATATTTTGGCAAGAAACTAAATTTTTTCTAGGGACAAAAGGTCTAGGATGTGGTATGTATGGCTATCCTTAAGATTGAGGCAGGATCCACCGATGATCTTTTTATCCCATTACAGGAGAAGGTTGACAGGAAAGCTTCTAGCAATCCTGACCTTCATCTGAACAGGGCAACGGTAAGACCATGGGACAGTAGTCATAGGAAGGTTAAATAAAAAAGACATATAGGTCTTGGCCTGTGAGGATAACTGAGTATACATATAGACAAAGTTCAGTACGAACTGTGAGAGGAAAGCCAAATTATTTCTAGAACTAGTTAGCTCAATTTGACTTTAGTATCCCATGGAATTACTAAAGGGAGAGAGGGGCTGGGAGGTAGGCGAGTACATAGAAAATGGGGAGATGGTTTAGAAGACTTTGAAGTATTAAGAATAAATGTAAAAGGAGAGTGACCCAATATATGCCACTTTGAGTTTGTAAATTAGTGTCTTTGAAGTAATTTCATCTTCGTCATTGCTATCACCTTGGCCAAGAAGGATGATATTCATGGTAGGACAGGAAAATAACTGGGAAGTAAAACAGTTTATTTCTCCAGGCTCCTAACTCATTGTGGCATTATTCTCTCTGCATAGTTTGGACATATTTATAATTGGAAAGTTTTGGACTACTTTTTGTACAGTTACATAAATATGAAGAGAGTTATGGGGAGGCCCTGGAGGGCTTTTCTCGGGCTGCAGCACTAGACCCTGCCTGGCCAGAGCCCCAGCAACGAGAGCAACAACTCCTGGAATTCCTTAATAGATTAACCATCCTCCTGGAAAGCAAGGTAAAGATGTATAAAGGGCTGAAGCCTACTCTTTTTTTCTGCTAGGGGTCAAAAAATAAGAAAAGAATATACTAAGGTGGTAGTGACCCCATTGAAATAGGTGGGTGAGAGGGAAGGACTGAACTCAAGAATAATTTCCACTTTTTCCTATTTCTCCTTCCTTTGCAGGGAAAGATGAAGGTGAAAAAGCTACAGAGCATGCTGGGAAACTTGCGTCCTGCCCACCTAGGCCCCTGTGGTGATGGTCGCTATCAATCAGCCTCTGGGCAGAAGGTGACCCTGCAGCTCAAGCCTCTGAGTGAGCTGAAGCCTGGTGTAAATAGTGGTGCTGTGGTCCTGGGAAAGGTGGTGTTTAGCCTAACCACAGAGGAGAAAGTCCCCTTGTGAGTGTCTTTTGCCTTTTCTCTTTTTCTCCCTTTTGAACTAATTGCTCTCACTTCTTGTCCTTTCCCTGACAGTTTGAGGGCATTGTTAATGGTCACAGATTACTGACTTCTCATTCCCTTCTGTTCTACAAGCAAAAATTGTCTAGGTAACATCTAACAATCCTTGACAGAAGCCTTTATAGTTTCTGTATGCCTGTTTCTCCCCCTGAGTTTGGTGCTTTGTGAATTCCTATGTTTATAACAAATTTAACAGGACATTTTTAAAATAAGATACAGAAATCTTAAAATTCTGCCTCCTTTGAGTTTTGATGATTATAGAGTTGAAGGAGGACAAATTCTGTTCTGTTTAGACTTAGATTTTCTTAGGTAGTTCCAGAAGGTGAACTTTGAGTTGGAACTTAAGGCCAGATTATAGGGAGATTTTCCCAGATTTGTCATTCAACAAATATTTATTGAGCATATACTGTATTTGTTATGAGGAGTGAGAAAAAAATTTATAAAGGACTTAGGCTAATGATAGCAAAGGAATGAATTAAGAATATTCATTTAGAAAAATTTAAATCTTGAAAACTTAGGGTTTAGTGAGTGCCATCACTCCTTTGTCCTTCACTCTCTTCCTAATCCTTTGTTGACTGTCTCTCTTTTGTTTCTACTGAAATGGTTTATTTTCTGGAATCACCAGAGTCTTTCTAAGCACATGATTCATTGGCTTCACTACATGATTTTATAACATTTGACTTATCTTTCACTGTCGTCTTTCACATCCTTTCTGTTCCATCCAATCTGAAAAACAGTTCCCATTACATTCCTGAGCATTCTCCATTGGCATTTTCTAGAAGTATGTGTATTTGATGAATTGAAGAGCAAGAAGATTGTTGAGGAAAGTTTAGTTAATGAGAGCACACCTTAGAGCTGAGAGGAATGAAAAAGATATAGACAAAGGGTAAGTTTTAAGGAAACTTTGAGAATATATAAATGTTTTGCCACTTTTTGGTTTCTCTCTTTGCCCAACTTCTAAATGTTAGCTTCTTCAGGACTCCCATGCCATGGGATGTTTGCCTATATTGATTGGTGATTGTCTGACGTAGTCTATAGAAAGACTCTGAGGCTTTGACTGGATTCATCAGGAGAGTACTATGCTTGATTGCAGTGTTCCCTGTGAATTCAAGCATGCTATGTACTGGCATGAGCACTGATTTGTCAGCATCTTATCTATAGTTTATCTTGCTTGGTGATGTCATATGAACCCAAGCCTATGGCTATTTCCTCCATGCTCACAGGTATATCTTCAGCAAGGCCTAATTTTTGGGTTTTGCATCCCTTTATCTGACTGCTTCTGGGCTTCATTTAAAATTTCTAACTCAGTGTGTTCAAAATTTCTCATCTGACTTGTCATGGTGGCGCACACCTATAATCCTAGTGGCTCAGGATGCAGAGGCAGGAGGATTGCAAGTTCAAAGCCAGCCTCAGCAAAAGTGAGGTGCTAAGCAACTTAGTGGGACTCTGTCTCTAAAGAAAATACAAAAATAGGGCTGGTGATGTGGTTCAGTGGTCAAGTGCCCTGAGTTCAATCCCCAATACCCCGCCACCAAAATTCTTATTCTTTCTTTTTTTTTTTAAAAAAAATTATTTATTTATTTATTCTAATTAGGTATGTATGACAGCAGAATGCATTTTGATTCATTGTACACACTGTGGCACAAGTTTTCTTTTCTCTGGTTGTACATGATGTAGCACCACACCACATGTGCAGTCATACATGTATCTAGGGTAATGATGTCCATCTCATTCTACCATCTTTCCTCCCCTCCCTTCCTTTGCCCTATCACAGTTTCTAATCATTATTTCTAAACTTGCTTCTCTTCCTTGAATTCCCTGTTGGTGAATGGTACCATCTCTTTACTCAGTCACAAAATTAACACTTCTAAAAGTAATTTTTAGATTTTTCCATTCTGTTTGAAGTAGTCACCAGGTCTTATGCATTTGCTGGTTTTGTTCCTACTTCTCTCTTTCTACTACCTTAATTCAGCCTGTTCTCCAAACACATTTCCCTGACTCTACTTTTCCTCCAGTGTTCCATAGAGTTGCCAGAAAATCCAGATGAAAATCTGAACATTGCCACTTTCTATTAAAATTTTTTTACTGGTGTTCTGTAGCTTTCAGAATAAAATTTGAACTCTCTAGCTTAGTTTAGGATTTGCTCTTTCTTTTTTCATTATCTTTATCACTTTCCCACATGTACCTTTCATTCTAACTGCAGCACTATTTTGTAAGTTTAAGAACAGCTATTTTCATACCTCTGTGCCTTATACACAATTATACTTCTGAATAATCCTACAGCTTCTTCTTAATATAGCTAAATTTCCTCCTAAAAATTTTCAAACATACAACAAAGTTGGAAGAAATTTACAGTAAGCATCTGTGTATCCAACTACCTATGTTGTACCATTAATGTTTTGCTATTAGTTTATGACATCTGTCTATTTATCCATTTATCCATTTTACTTTTGGTGCATTTCAGAGTAAATTACAGGAATCAGTATACTTTTGTCTAAATACTTTAGCATACAATCTTTAACTGAGGTCAGTATTTGTTTGCATTATTTTCTGTTTATGTGAAATAGATCTGCAATGAAATGTACAAATCTAAATGCACATTTGCTGAGTTTTGACAAATGCTTGCATCTTTATAACCCAAGATGGAGATCATGACTACTACCCCAGGAAGTTCCCTCATTCTCCTTCCAAGTCAGTCTTACTCCCATCTCCCAGAAAGTTTTATTTCCATTGAAGATTAATTTTCCTGTTTTTTTTTTTGGTCTTTTCTAACTGGAGATTGAATCCAGAGGTGCTTTACCACTGAGCTGCATGCCCAGTCCTTTTGATTTTTTAATTTTGAGACAGGGTCTGAATAAGTTGCTTAGGACTTTGTTAAGTTGCTGAGGCTGGTCTAGAACTTGTGATCCTTCTGCTTCAGCCTCCTGAATGTCTAGAATTATAGGTACTACCGTACCCTGCTATTTTCCTGTTTTAACCCAGCTAATTTTTTAATCCTGTGAGAGTAATCATTTTCCTGAAGAAAGTCTTCCTTGCTTTCCAGTTTTGATTTATAGGTCCACAGCCCAACCTGTGCTTTCACTGAATTTAGCACAAGGGAAAAAGCTGAATATTCATCACACTGTGCTTTAAGTATTTTTTTTTTTTTTTTTTGCAGCATGGGGGATGGAACCCGGGGCCTTGTACATATTAAGCAAACAGTCTACCACTCAGCTACACCTCAGGTCAAGAAATGGTTTTGTTGTTTGACTTCTGGTAGTTTATAGGTCATTAATAGATGGATTGGTATCTTACGGCCAGATACAATGCTTGACACATGTATAACATTTAGTGAAAGTTTGTGAAATTAAAGTAGATTGACAGTGGTAGTTAGGGGTTTTGGCTAAGAGTATGATAATTAAATTGATAGGCTAGGAATAATGCTTCAGTTGCAGTGTTTTGGGCTAGTTCATCATTGATATTTGTTGGATGACCTCATAGTGTCTGTGTCCTAAGTTCTTAGCAAAGTGATGGATTGTTGAGTCTTGTGTGCATTTTGTAGCTATATAATATCTAAGATAAAGGGGACTCAGAAGTACATAGTGGGTGATGGTTAGTGAGATGATGAATAGTGAGCAAGTTAGTGAGAAAGCATTTGTTTATTTTGCTAGTATTTTAAAACCACTGTTTCTGCTCTTTCCTGCCAACATACCTTTTTTTTTTTCCTTTCCTCCTATCTTAACCTGGCAGTACATTTGGCCTAGTAGATTCAGATGGACCTTGCTATGCAGTGATGGTGTATAATATGGTGCAGAGCTGGGGAGTGCTCATTGGGGACTCCGTAGCCATCCCTGAGCCTAACTTGCGGCTTCACCAAATTCAGCACAAAGGAAAGGTGAGTAGTGACTTGGATTCTCTTGCAATTCATAGACTCTGAAAATGGAACCAAGCTTATCTCTTTTTAAAAAAATACACATAAAAGTGATACATGCATGTGTAAGCGTGTGTGGGTATGGTAAATATTTGTGTGGGTATGGTAAATATTTGCGTGGGTATGCTCTGTTCCCTTTTTTTTTTTAATAGAAAAGGGAAACTATGGTAAACAAAAAGAAACTAAAAATTGACTGAAATATTGTCATGGAGATTTACTTCTATCAATAGTTTGGTGTACATAGCTCCAGTTCTTTTCCTTTTCAGAAATATATGCACACATTTTACTTTTAAATTATGTATGGGATGTTACATGCCAATGTTTGTGAACATTTTCCTTGTTTTTACATATTCCACTACATTGTTTTGAATTGAGTCATAGGAGTAGTGATGATGATGGTAGCTAACATTTACTGAACAATTAACTGAGTGCTAGACACTGCTAGGAGTTTTATTGCCTATGTTGCCTGATCTGATTCTTTATAAAAACCTTATAAGAGTAGGCATGTAACCATGTTTTCATCATTTAGGCAGCAAACTATGTTATGCTGACCAAATCTGGTTCACCACCTATTGTTGTCTGGCCTGTGAGCTAAGAATGGTTTCTATATTATTAAATGTTAAAAAGGAAAAAAGTATATTTTGTGATACATGAAAATTACAGGAAATTCATGGGTTAGTGTCCATTAAGCTTTATTGGAACACAGCCGCACTCACTTGTTTACATCCGAATGCCAGAGGTGAATTGTTCTGCAACAGACCCCATAACCCAGCAAGCCTGACATTTTTACTATCTACCTCTTTAACAGAGTTTGATTACCCCAGATCTAGATTATTTTAAATTTTTCCAAACGTAAAAATAATGAACATTTTAATATCTTTGTCTGTATCTATGATTATTTCCTTATGTGAATTTTTAATGTAGATTTTTGGGTGTAAACGGTATATAGAATTCAAAGGTTTTTGACACATATTGCCAAAATATTCTTTGGAAGGTTGTACTAGTTAGTTGTTAACTACCAACAGTGGATATAGGTGTTCTGTATAGTTTCTTCCAAATACTGGGTACTGTTTAAATTGGTTTATTGATTACTTGTGAGTCAATATTTTATTATATGTTTATTGAGTTATTTATGTTTCTTCTATAAATTGTCTTTTTTGTTGTTGCTTGCACATATTCTTGTTAGGACTTTTTAAAAATTTGATTTATGAGAACTCTTTATTTTACTTTTATTTACAAGAGTTGATTTCACACTGTCAGTGGAATAATGTTTTTTGGATGAGGATCTTTTAGCAACATGTTTTACAACTTAAAATACATTTGAACAGGGAAAGTGAGCTGATATCTTTTCTGTTATTAAGACAAAGGTGACATTCTATTTCTTGGTCTATTCCTTCCTCTTGATATAAAAGGGAGAAGTCACTTTAATTTTTTCTTGGCAGATTAGTTTAGGGCCTTACAAACACTTGGGCTAACAGTTAAGAGTTTCCAGTGGCTCTGGTTGGCTACTGTATGTATCTAGTTACCTGTCAGAAGATGCTGGTGAAGGACCAACTCTGAGCTGATAGCATTTTTTTGTTAGGCAGAGCAAGGAATTTGATATTCTTGGAGTTACACTCCCTGCCCAGATTTTCCTTCTGATGATTGGAGCTTTGGAAAAATTATGTCTACTTTGTTAGCTGTTTTTTTTTTTCTAGTGAAAGATTTGGGTAAGGGGTGTATACATAGGACCAGTGGGAGAGTAAGTTGCCCGTGGTGTTGCCCGGTGATGGAGTGTTTTCTGCCTTAGGATCTGTAATGAACCTCTGTCTGTCTTCTAGGACTATTCCTTTTCCAGTATTCGTGTGGAGACTCCCCTCCTGCTGGTGGTGAATGGAAAGCCTCAGGGTTCCAGCAGCCAGGCTGCTGCCACAGTGGCCTCTCGACCGCAGTGTGAATGACCTCTCCTGACTTGCATGCTGAAGAGGGAGTGGAGGCGAGGATATATGCTCAAGGCACTCGGCCACTGGACCAGCCACATCCAATGACTCTGAGGGATTTGGGGAGGGAGTATTTTAAATGAAGACTTTCCCTTTTCCTGCCCAATAAGATATTTTGTGTCTCTTTTTTTTTTTTCTCCCATCATGTTCCAGCTCTTTTCAGAGCCACATAGTCTCATGATATATCTCTCCTGCCTTTTTTAACTTTTTGACTGCTGTTTTAAGCAAAGAGCTTAGAATTGGTAGAAGTGTTAGAATCTTGCCATGGGACAGGGTCCCCAAGGTTCCTGTTTTTTGTCTCCGTCCTGAGTCTAATATGTATATATCAGTTCAGTATTTATTGCTAAGGGGAGGGGTGCTTAACTTTTTAATGGCTTGATTTTTGAGCATTTTTTAAGATTTAAGTTCTTCCCCTAATTTGGGGCTGGAACAAAATTAAACTTGTTTCAAAGAAAAAAATACCATGTAGTTTGGTTTGCTTTTTTCTCTCCAGGCTTGGATTCTTGCATTTAAGATCTATTGAAATAATACTATTTGGTTTTTATATAAAATAGTTTATTTCTCTCCCAGTTAAAAAATTCTGGCAATAGACAGCCCAGGAATGAAAGCTCCAGAAGATTGCTGGAGAAACAGTTTCATTTCATATTCTCATTTTATCATCCTTAGATGTGGTCCTCATTATGGTCCAAAGTGGCAGAGCAATATTATTCTAATAGTGTTTCCTAGGCTGAAAGACCAGAAAAAGCCATATATTTCATTTCTTCAGGTTCTAGTGATATATTTTATAAGTTTCTCTCAATATTTTCATGGAAAAATAAGGAAACATGAGTGAGAATTAATAACCAATTGAACAGCTGTAAGATATTAATGCTTACAGATGTATTTGGAAGACTTCTAGTGATATAGCTCAGGTCTTTCTCCTTGGTACAGTCCTGTTCAACTCTTGTTCAGTGACTTGAGTATCATTGAAATTTTGTAAAGAATGTAAAATACTTCTCAGTGAATTGATTACAGTGTTCAAGCCTATCTAAAGAAGTTATATCTATCTTCTATAGGTATAGAAGATAGAAGTTATCTTCTGTCTAAAGAAGTTATAAAAGCTGGATGTAACAAGATAAAATTTTTTATTGGTACATTTTAATGGAATTCATTATGCTATAGTCATACATGTGCATAATATAATTTGATCAATCTTATTGCCTAATACCTCTCCTTCTCCTTCCCTTCTCCACCTGATCCCCCTTGATCTAATGGTCTCCCTTCTTTTATTATTTTTAATTAGTGCATTATAATTTCATACAATAGTGGGATTCATAGTGGTATGTTTGTACATGGATATAGCATAATTGGTAGATTTCATTCCCCAGTACTTCCCCATGCCTTTTTCTCTTCCCTCCTTCTTGATCCCCTTTCTATACTTTATTGGTCCCCTTTGTGAGATTCCCATTTTTTCCTCTAACTGCCACCTCAGAGAAAATACTAGTCCCTTGTTGTTCTGAGTCTGGATTATTTCACTTAGTACAATATTCTCTAGTTCCATCCATTTATAAGAAGATGACACAATTTCATTCTTCTCAGGCTGAGTAAACCTCCACTGTGTATATATACCATATTTCCTTTATTCATTTGTTGATAGATACCTAGGCTGGTTCCATAACTTAGTTATTGTGGATTGTGTTGCTCTAAACATTGGTATGTAAGTATTCCTATAGAATGCTGATATTAGTTTTTTTTTTTTTTGATAAATATCAAGGAGTAGGATAAATGTATTGTATGGTGGTTCCATTCCTAGCCTTTAGAGAAATGTTCATACTATTTACAAAATGATTGTATTAATTTTCAGTTCTAACAACAATATATAAGTGTACATTTTCCCACATCCTCTCTAGCATTTAATATTGTTTTCTTGATGCTTGCCATTCTCACTGGAGTGAGATAAAATCTCAGTGTAGTTTTGATTTGCATTTCCCTGGTTGCTAAAGATGTTGAACATTTTTTCATATATTTGTTGGCCATTTGTATGTCCTCGTTTGAGAAATGTCTGTATAAGTTATTTGCCTACTGACTGGGTTATTTGTTTTTCTGGTGTTACTTTTTTTTTTTAGTTCTTTATATATCTGGATATTAATCCTTTATTGGAAGAGTAACTAGCAAAGCTTTTCTCCCATTCTGTAGGTTCTTTCTTCATGCTCTTAATTATTTTCTTTGCTGTGCAGAAGCTTTTTAATTTGATGCCATCCTTCTTATTGATTCTAATTTTATTTCCCGAGCATCAGGAGTCTTATTAATTCAATGCCTGTATATTGGAGTGTTGACACTATGTTTTCTTCTAGCAGTTTCAGTGTTTCTGGTCTAATTTCTAGAATCACTTTGAATTGAATTTTTATACAGGGTGAAAGATAGGACTCTAGTTATTCTTCTACATATATTCAACATCATTTGTTGAAAAGGCTATCTTTTATCTAATATATATATATTTTTTGGCATCTTTGTTGAGTAACAAATAACTGTATCTTTGTGGATTTGTCTCTTGAGTTTTCTATTCCATCCATTGATCTTCATTTCTCTTTTCATGCCAAACAATGCTGTTTTTGCTACTGTAGTTATGTAGTGTAATTTTAGATTAGGTGTTGTGATGCTTTCCAACATTGCTTTTATTGCTCAAAATTGCTTTAGCTATTCTGGCTTTCTTATTCTTCTATAAGATTTTTAGGACTTTTTTCTAGTTCTGTAAAGAATGTCATTGATATATTGATAGGGATTGTATTGTATCTGTAGATCACTTTTGATAATAAAGCCATTTTGACAATTCCAAGAGCATGTTAGGTCTTTCCATTTTCTAATGTCTACTTCAATTTCTTTCTTTGTTGTTCTGTAATTTTCATTGTAGAGGATTTTTGCCTCTTCAGTTAGATTTACTCCTGTGTGTGTGTGTGTGTGTGTGAGAGAGAGAGAGAGAGACAGAGAGAGAGAGAGAGAGAGAGAGAGAGAGAGGTTATTGTGAATGAAATTGTTTTCCTGGTTTCTTTCTCAGCAGATTCATTATTAGAATAAAGGAAAGCTATTGATTTTGTATGTTGATGTTATATCTCACTACTTTGCTGATTTTTTTTTAAATTAGCTTAGATATCTAGTAGAGTTTTGGGGATTTTTAAAATGGATCATGTCATTAGCAAATAGAGACAAGTTGTCTTCTTTTTCTTGCCTAATTTCCCTGACTAGAGTTTCAGGTATTATATTGAATAGGAATGATGACAGTGGACATCCTTAATAAGGTCTTTTGATTCATAAGGCTAAGTTTCTGAGGTGAATCTTCAGAAAGACGATAATCATGTATAAAAATTACTAGGTATTTTCATAGATAAGGCCCAGTCAGTATGAGTAATCAGTATCATAGAGTTGCAAAAGGACTCTCTGACTATACCAAGATATTTGTGATAGAGTTTTTAATAGAGTGTTTGTCTCTCAGAACACGTGGAATCTTGAATTTAGTTTCTGCTGTCAATTTTGAGGTCTCTAGTCAACAAGAGTGATTAGGAGCTTGTAGGGTTATAAAATTGTCTTGAGCAATAGCTGAAAGCAGCTAGGGAGTATAGGTTGGTAAGCATTAGAGATAGGAGAAATGAGACCTGCTGTGATATGTTCCCTAAAAGCTCATATGTGAGAGAGTGCAAGAAAGTTTAGATGTGGAATGATTGGGTTATGAGACCCTTAACCTAATTAGTGCATTAATCTCCTGATAGGGGTTAACTGGGTGGTAAATTGGCAGGTAGGACGTGGATGGAGGAGGTGGGTCATTAAGGGTGTGCATTTGAGATATATATTTTGTCCTTTTTGAGGGGAGCTCTGTCTGCTTCCTGGTGCCATGTCTTGAGCTGCTGTCCTCTGCCGCACTCAACATAACATCCTGCTTTACCTTGGACCCTGTGAATGGAGTGGTCCACCTGTGGATTGAGACCTCTTAACACAGTGAGCCCTGAAATAAACTTTTCCTCCTCTAATTGTTCTTGTCAGATCTTTTGGTCACAGCAGCAAAAAAGCTATGACTAAAAGAGAAATTGATGCTGAGAAGTAGGGTTCTTGCTGAGACTAATGTGGTTCAGAAACTTTTGGAGCTTTTTGGAATTTGTGGGAGGAAAGTTTAGCAATGTAAGCTGGAAAAACTTTAGAATGTTGTGAGAGGAACTTAATGGCCAATTCTGGTGGGAGCTCAAAAGACCAGAATGCTGATAGGACTATATACAGTAAAGACTGGGTTCAAGAGTTTTCAGAGAAGAAGGACTCTATTGGAAATGGGACTAGAGTCCATTTGTGTTATGTTCTGGCTAAGAAGTTGTCTTCATTTTGCCCATGTTTTGAGACTTTCTGTGAGGCTAAATTTGAAGGTGATGGATTTCTTAACCTAGCAGAAGAAATTTCTAGGCAGTATAGTATTCAGGATGTAATATTCATGGATATTGCTGGCAGCTTTTATCCAAGTTTTTTTGTGATAATCAGGAGCAGAAAGCAAAGCAGAAAGATTTGAAAAACTTGCAGCTTGGCCAGAAAACTGTGAGTAAAAGTGGGGCTAAGGAAGGTATGGTTGTTAAAAACAACATATCCACTACAGAAACACTAAATACTTTAACCAGAGACAATAGGAAGGATGGCTTGAAAGCTTCTCAGGAATTGGCAAGACCATACCCATTTCAGGTTCAAGGGCATAAAAATAAAAATTCCTTTGAGAAGGAACAAACCATTGGATTTCCCTGCTTGCAGGGAGCAGATGGTAGGAAGTTGTTTCAACATGCTCAGCCACCAAGGTACTCAGAGGCTGCTGCAGCCTTGGTCCCTGGAGGCTTGGCTACTGCTTGAGATGGTGGCAGACCTTGGTGTCAACCATGTGGTGCTGATTCTACAGAAATGCAAGATGCTTGCGTTAAGGGGTCATGGATGCTTACACCAAGATTTCAAAGGAAAGCCTGGGAGGCCAGGCAAAGTGCAGGAGGGTTGGAGTTCCCTTGTGAGGAGGAAGCCAAAGCTGCAGTGGAGACTCCTGAGATTAATCTTATTCTCCTTTGTGGAGGAGAGATGCAGGAATCCATCTTAATCTCCTTTGTGGAGGAGAGCTGCAGGAGTCCATCAGAGGCAAGCTAAGAGAGAGGTCATGTGGGCTGTCATGTGCTTAGGATGTCATGTGCTTCAGATGCTGGACATGGAAATGTAGGACTTGTTTGCCCATCTGGATTTCAGTCTTGTTTTGGTCCCATCCCTTCTTTCTATGCCCTTGTTTCTTTACACGGAAATGTTTACTCTGTGCCTTTATATATTGAATGTATGTAACTTGCTTTTGATATTTACAGCTCATTTTGAGAGTTTGCCTTGAGTCTCAAAGGAGACTTTGTACTTGGAATTTTGGGCAATGCTAGAACTGTTAAGAATCAGATTAAATGTTTCTTAACAGTTCTAGCATTTAATCTGATTCCCAGGAATTAAATGTATTTTGCACTATGAGATGGACGTGAGTTTTAGGGGGCCAGGGGTGGAGTGTTATGGTTTACCTATGAGGTATTTGCCAAAAGCTTGTGTGAGACAATGCAATAAATTTTAGAGGTGAAATGTGTATGGAAAATGACAAATCCCAAAATAGTGTGGTCTGGGAAGAGGGAGTGAGAAAGAAGGCCAAACATTGGTAACATTGATCCTTTCCCAATACCTTCCTTCCCAGTGACAAAGACAGTCCCTGGGAAGGAGACATCCATCAAACCTAAAATGACAGTGTCTGGGAGGAAGCCAAAGCATTGATCCTTCCCCAAATAAATCCCAGTGACAGTACAACAGGACCCCCAAGGGAAAGAGATAAGCATTGAATGCTGACCTCCAGACCCTCCATTCTTCCCCAAGCAAAAACATTGCCCAGTAAAAACAAATTTCAAATTCTCACAACCTGTTTCCTGAGTACCCAAACTGATATGCTTTGTCAATAATTAAGTCACCTCTCAGTTTAGCATATATAAGCACAGATTCCTCCTTTGGCTAGTGACTCATTTTCCATTGGGAAAGTATGTCCACCAGATGCATGACTCCACTGCTGAATAAAAGCTTTGCTGATCTGGGAAGTTTGCACTGGGCTTGGTTATGATTTTGGGTTATGAGAATCTTAACCTAATCAGTGCATTAGTCCTCTGAGAGGGTTTAACTGAATGTGTGGCAGGCAGGGTTGGTCATTGGGGGCATGTATTAAGGATACATATTTGTGTCCTCGTTGAGGGGAGCTCTCTTTATGCTTTTTGGTGCCATGTCCCGAGCCACTTTCCTCCTTCACACCTTTTCATCATGATGTTCTGCCTCATTTTGGGCTCAAAACAAAGGAGTCAGCCATCTATGGACTGAGATTTCTGAAACTGAGACCCAATATAAATTTTTGCTCCTCTAATTATTATTGTCAGGTCTTTAGTCAGCAATGAAATAACTGATTAAAATATGGCCCAATAACTGTTTCCCTTTTACTGAAGTCCTGAGATGATTTGACACACTCATTGTAGGGCCAGAGATCAAAAAATGATCAGTAGGTACTAACCTGAGAGAAGCAGTACGTAAAAAACAGATAAGTATGCAAAAATATGTAAGAATGGATTCAAGAATAATAAGAATACTGTGGAATATTTAACTGTTATTCATGGTAATGAGACTGTTGGACATGGAAAAATTTCAATTCAACATAAGAAAGTTACTGTTGAAACTATCAAAATCTAAACTGCTTTAGGAGATGTGAATTCTTTTTGAAATGAAGACTACTGGATATATTATTGAGCACATTGAATGAGATTCCTATATCTGGAAATAGTTGCCTTAAGATTACTTTCAGTTCTAATATTTTATGACTTAGTGGATCTTATTTCTGTCCTTTACAACTCTTGACTTGTTGCTCAGACCAGTGAAGACTAATTGGCTGAGTATTAATCTTCCAGTTAGGTTGAATGTATTTCCAGACTAAACTATGAACAAAGAGACCCTCAGAAACCCATTTGGATCTCTGTAAGTCAAGAACTTACTGTTTTCTCCTAAGGCTCTAGACTTTGAGTATCTTATCAACACACTTAGAATTTTGAAGTAGAGAACTTTTTATGTGCAAACAAAGGAGGGTTTGAATTAGGTTATTCTTGGGCCCACAGAGCCTGAATTTTCTTTAGAACAGAGGATCGTGCTTATTTACATAACCAGTCCTGTCTTAAGATTAAAGTGAGTTCCAGTGATACCCTCATTCCTTTTTTTTTTTTTCATTCCTTATAAGTCCTTAGATCTTACTCTTCTCTACATTTGAAATTTGTGTGCTAATATGGAATGAATTGAGTAATAGGAGAGCTCTCACTAAGGTTCTATCAAGTTTTGGCTAGGTAGCAACTTCATGTTTCCTATGGCTTAACATTCAGTGTGATAGAAAAAGATCTTGTGACTAAGCTAAGTGCTGATTGGTATCTCCACTGCTGACTATGTCAGTTCTTCCAGGAAACTCTATACATAATCCTGGGTCTATTCCTTGGGGCCTCTTTGGTCTGGAAAATATTTAGGGAAGGTGACATCAAATCCAACATTTCCTTGATTCTTAGAGAAACTCTTCTTTGCCTAATTTTAAATGTCCAATTACAAGGTAACAGATAATTTATACATCATAAAATTCTTGTGTCATAATTTAAATTGTAGAGTTTTCTATTATAAAGGCACAAAGGTAATGGTGCTTCTATCTATAGTATCTTAGACTTAAAGAAATACAGGAATGGTATTTTGTGGCAGCTGCTCTGTATCAGGTTCCTTTCTTATTTTTCTTTATATATG